CCTGAGGCCTCAGCCCAGCCGCTCTGACCTGCCACACAGCTTTCGCTAGCGGAGACAGGCGCAGGCTGTCGCAGGCTCTGCCTGAGGTCACAGACACCGTGCATAGCCAGAGCCGGCCCCAGCTCTTGGTGTTGCCTGCTGCCCCTGGCTGTAGGGGCCGTTCCCCAGCCCTAGTGAGAAGGGGTATGTGGACCCCCAGAAGGCCACACTGCCTGCCTGCCCGCCCCACTTGGCTCGCCGGAGGGCATGCTCATGGACAGGAGCCAGGGGAATCCCAAAACCAAAGTGGGAGGCGGACATGGCATCCAGGTCCCAGCATGGCGGGTGGCTGGGCTGGACTCGTCCAGGCCTTCCAGGATCATGCTGGAGGGAAGAGGCGCCCCTCTATGTGACTCCATGGCCTGAGCACCAGGGCCTGGCTGACAGGGAGATCTGTCCCTGTCACCCCCTGCTCTCATCCCAGGGCTGCTGCCTTAGTGAATTGCTGACCAGGGACCCCAGGGGAGGACGGGGTGGGGTGGGCCTTGGGTGTCAGGGATGCGTGCCCACCGGTCACCTCATCCCCCTGGGGTGTAGCTTGGCCTGGGACACTGAATGAGCTAATTCTGAGGACATGACTCCCGGGTGCCCCAAGTTCCAACCAGCAGCAAAGGAGGCAGGGGGTACAGCACACCCTGGGTCTGCAGAGAGGTGGGTGGGCAGCGGGTCAGGGTGGCACCAGCAGGGCAGCCAGCCTGGAACCGGGCAGCAGCACATGGGCCTGAAGCCAGGCTTCTCATGAGGGCAGGAGGCGGCTGTGCCAGAACCAGGATGTAGGACTGGCTAGGCAGCTTCTCAGCTCCAGGCATCTGGACACAGTGAACAGGGGTCAGAGGGCCCTGATGCCCAGATCTGGGCAGGCAGGTCTGTCCTGCAATGGGCTTGGTTAGCATCCGGTCCCCGCCAAGAAAATCAGGCCCAGCCAACTCTGCCGCCTCTTGTGACCGGGCGCAGGCTGTGACACCAGCACTGGATGAGGCCCTGATCAGCCTTTGAGCCCCAGGAGCAGGTGACAGAGTGGTCAACCTCCCAACTGCCCCACCCTGGGGACCAGGCCCCCCACAAACTCCCTGTGGGACTTGGAGCCAGGATCCTTCCTGGGGAGGAGGGAGGGAACTGGCTGCTCCATCAGATCCCTACCCACCCAGGGTGTCCCTCAGTGTGCCCAGAATGGGCCGGGCCTGGGCGGGGCAGGTGAAGGAGGTGGGGGCTGCAGTGCAGGGCTCAGAGAGCCTCGGAACCCGCTGGAGAGACCCTGGAGGCGCTCACAGACACTGGCAGGGCCAGAACCATCTGAGAGCCAGAGAGGTGAGGGTGGTTCAGGAATGGGAGGACTCACACGGCCGGGCAGGCGGTCACTGGGTAGGTGAGAGAGGGAAGCCAGTAGCCATTCAGCATGGTGAGCACAAGTCATGGGTCTCACTGCGTCCACTCAGCACCCTCTCAGGGCAGGCATCCCTGCTCCCATGTTCCAGGTAGGGACATGGAGGCTAAGGTGTGTACACAGGGGAATGGCTGGAGTTCACACGCAAGCGCCCTGAGTGTTCACTTTGCTGAATGATCGGGCACCTTGGGCAGGGATTTGGTAGAAACCCTGGTAGTCCCTGGATCTGCCTGGATGTGGGGACAAAAGACGCAGATGTGATGGAGACAGAGCCAAGTGGGAGAGACAGCAGGGGTGGGGACAAAGGCAGGCTGGGTGGGAAGGGCAGGCAGGTGATGGAGACAGAGCTGGGGTTGGGATAGCCGGGGCGGGACCAGAGGCAAGCCAGGTGGTGAGGATGGCACAGAAGACGGACAGGCAGGCCAGCAGTGATCAAATCCTGCTTTGGCCAGGACTTGGAGCAAATCCACTTTACAGGTGAGAAAACAGGCCCAGAGAGGCAAAGGTGCCTGCCAAGCTTGCCAAGGCCATGGGCAAGACAAAGGGCCAAGGGCTGAGGCTGCTTCTGAGAGTGGCATGGTCAGAAAGCTGTGAAGGAAGGCTGGGTGGAGATGGCAGAGGCCTCCTCTCTTTTCAGATCCTTGGGTTTATAAAAGGCCTGCAAGGCCCAGTGCTGGGGAGAAGGGATACAGCCAAAGCTGCCTGATGAGGCAAAGTCATTGCCTCGAATGTGCAAGAAGACCTGGAGTTCTGGGCTTAGGGGCCAGAGCCCAGGCTCTTGGGACAGTTTCCTAAAAGCACTGGCTGAACAAGAACATGCCAGGGTAGGATGGCTATGAGAACGACCCAGAGGCAATGCTGGACCTGCCCCCTACCATCAAGGCAGGGGGCATCCCTAACTGAAGGGGGCTTCTAAGGGTCAGGGACTCTCAGGGGCCACGAACCAGCTCAGGCTGACACCAAAGACCCTTCACCCGCACTCCCCACTGGCACTGCTGTGGGCTGAGGAGATCAGCAGGCCTCCCTGCCCTGTGACCAGCTGGCCTTGTGAGAATGCCCCTCCTCTTCCCACCAAGGATCTGCCTCTGGCAGAAGGCAGAGCTTTGGACTTCCCTCAATCTGTGTCCGGGGCCCAGAACCTGAGTCTCCCCGAAGCCGGAGCCCTTCTGGAGTACTGGCCCTGGTGGCTCCAGCCAGAGATGTCCTGCTGACTAACCACAGTGCTTCCTGCCATCTACTCAGCCATTCCCACCGCCAGCCAAGGGAGGGGCCTGAAGCTTCATCCTGAGCTTGGGGCTGGAAGCAAATCAAGCAAGGGAATGGGGCCTCAGTTTCCCTGCCTGTAACATGAGCCGCCTGGATGAGGTGAATCCTGGCCCCTTCCAGTGCTGTGCATGCCCAGGCAACAAACTTCACCCTTCAAAACCCCCAGCCGTCATCACTTCGTAATTGTCTGTGATGGTGATCCCAACACCCACAGCCAGAGGGCGACATCTGCACGAGCTGGGCCGTCTGCCTAGGACTGCGGGGCAGGTGGGGGCAGGGGGAGAGTACCTGCAGCTGCAGCTGAAATGTAGCCGAATGGAAGTTTGTGACTGCCTTCCAGCACCCCTGCCTGGCCAAAGGGAGACCTTAGCCCACAGGACCACCGAGTCAGCAGGACAGACACCCCCTACCCCCATGTCCCAAGCATGGACAGGGCACGGCTCCAGGCTCTGGTAGCTCCCACCAAGAGAGGGCCAGCAGCAAACAGACAGGTGCACAGGGATAGCACACAAGTGAGGAGGGTGCTGGGACGGTGGGGACTTTCTCTCTAAAGGTGACGCCCGAGGCTACAGGACAGAGTCGCCCAGGAGCAGGGTTGGCTGGTCCAGAAGGTCCCGGCCTGGGGAAGCAGGCATGCTCCGGGAGAGCTGAGCCAGGGTGTGCACTCGGTGGCTTTGGGCCAGGCGGGCGCTGATGGGGAGGTCCAGCAAGGCAGGCCTGAGAGCTGGGTACGACTTCCTGAGCTTCTACCCCACCTGGGAGGCTCCCTGGAAGGACAGTGTGGGTGGAGGGGTTGGGGAGAGTGGCCAAGGTGTCCCAGGTACTGATGGGCCTCAGCCTGGGCCCCTCCTGGATCCCTGGAGGTTGTTGGATACAGTGATGTGTCCCTCGTTCCTATCTCTAAAAGGGGAACAGGCCAGACACAGTGGCTCACACCTGTAATCCCAGCACTTTGGGAGGCCACAGCAGGCGGATCACCTGAGGTCGGTAGTTCGAGACCAGCCTGGCCAACATGGTGAAACTCCATCTCTATTAAAAATTCAAAAATTAGCCAGGTGTGGTGGTGGCTGCGTGTAGTTCCAGCTACTCGGGAGGCTGAGACAGGAGAATCACTTGAGCCCAGGAGGCGGAGGTTGTAGTGAGCCGAGATTGTGCCACTGCTCGGTGACAGAGCGAGATTCCATCTCAAAAAATAAATAAATAAAAATAGGAACAGTGGCTCCAGTCATTGCAGCCTTGACCCCCGTTGCCCAGGGCTGTGGGAGGGTCGGATGAATGAAGGACAAGGAGTGTGTGGACCCACTGCGGGCACGGGGTGGGACTTGTGTAATGGTGGCCCCGGCGGCATGAGCCCAAGCGTAACCAGAAGAGGGCAAGAGGTGGGCTAAGGACCATGTCCCACTCCCAGGAGCCAGGGTGGGTGAGTTTTCCACAAGGGTCTCTGCACGGGGGTGACAGGGACCCTCAGGGCCCCCCAACACCTTGCCAGACCTCAAAGGGTCCAGGGACCTTTCTGTCACTCCCTGCCTCCTGCCTTGACCCACAAAACCCAGAAATATTTCATTTCTTTTACTTTTTTTTTTTTTTTTTTTTTTGAGATGGAGTCTCCCTCTGCCGCCTAGGCTGGAGTACAGTGGCTGAATCTCAGCTCACTGCAACCTGTGCCTCCTTAGTTCAAGCGATTCTCCTGCCTCAGCCTCTTGAGTATCTGGGATTATAGGTGTGTGCCACCAACCTAATTTTTATATTTTTAGTAGAAATGGGGTTTCACCACGTTGACCAGTCTAGTCTCGAACTCCTGGCATCAAGTGATCCGCCTGCCTTGGCCTCCCCGAGTGCTGGGGTGACAGGCATGAGCCACCGCATCCCGCCCAGAAAACAAATGTTTCAACATACCTCTTGGGTCATGGATTTTTTTTTTAATTCAGGTGAAATTCACATAACATCAATGTTTAAGTGAACACCTCATTGGCAGTGAGTGCATCTGCAGTGCTGTGTGCCTGCTTCTACGTCGTTTCAGGACCCCTGTCACACCCCAAAGAACCCCTGTACCATTAGCTCTCCAGCCTTTCTCCCACAGCCTGGCCCTCCTCGGCCCACCGCAGACCTCTCCCACCTGTCCCTGCTGGGTGGCAGCTGCCTGGCCGTCTGACATAGGCAGCTGAGGGCACCTGGCAGCCAGCAGGTTCCTGGGAGCCAGCTGCCACCCAGCAAACAGCCGGGAGGATAGAGTGTCAGCCATGGGAGGGGACAGACCTGCAGCCTGGGGCTCAGGTGGGCCACTGGGGACATAATGTGCTGGCTGCCCCGCCCCATCCCGGCCTGGCACAGCCCTTCAGATCCCAGCCTTGCCCCGCCCACTATGGGGCCGCCAGTGAAGGCCACGTGGCCACGAGAATGACCAGCCAGGCTTCCCTAGAGGCTGGGCCTCCCCAGACTGGGCCAGGTGCTTCCTGTTAGCAGAGGTAGAGCTGGGTCCTATGACTGCCGGCCAGAGGAAGAGGAGGAGGCTGGACTGCGAGTGTGGGAGGGGGTGGACCCAGGCCCCCAGCAGGTTAGTGGGAAGAGCAGGCGCCTGGATCTGCCAAGAATGCTAGCAAAGCTGGGCTCCCGGGCGGGCAGGCAGGTCCTGGGGAGCCGGTGAGGGCCGCTCCTCCCTGGGTGGCTGCACACTCCCTCCTGCTGGGGCAGGTAGTGCTGGCCTGTGCCTGCTCCCCAGAGCTCCCGGGCAGGCAGGATGGCAGGGGTTCCCCCTCCTCTGCCCCACTGGAAGACACTCTTTGTCGCCTCAGAAGCAGGCTCCCTGCAAGCCTGTGACTCCAAGGTGGAAGCTGGTTTTACAAGGGGGAATCCAGGTAGGGCCCCCAGGTTGCAGGTGGCTGATGGGTGAGCCTCGGTGCCTGAGATCAGGGCAGGGAGGGACCTGGGCCTTGTCCATGCATGTGGGGGCACGGCCTGGTGGGTGGCTCAGCCTCGGTGCCCATCTCACTGTCCCCTCCTCCCCAGCTGCTTCCTGCTGCCGGACGCCAGCACCTTTGCCCTCACTCCTCTGGGTCTGTGTCCTCCCTCCCTCCACAGATGAGTAATGTCTCAGGGATCCTGGGGACAGCTGACGTCCCCTTGGTGTCAGCGACCTGGCCACAGCCCAGCCCCCCACCGTCCGTGCCAGCTGGGCTGCAGATGGACCGCATGGGGAACGGCTCCCAGCGGGCCCCCTGGCTCTTCCTCACCTCCGCGCTGGCCCGAGGAGTCTCAGGCATCTTCGTGTGGACTGCCCTGGTCCTCACCTGCCACCAGGTAAGCCTTCCCCGCCCCCAGCCTCCTTCAGGACCCCGGTCTCCAAGGGATGTGGCCGTGGCTCAACCGGGCCCCCCTGGGTGCTGCTGCTACAGAGGCTGTCAGAAGTGGCATCGGGCCAGGGCACAGGGGGAGGGGACAGGCTTTTCCCAAGATGTGGCGTGTGGGAGCTGGGCCTGAAAATGGGGAAGTCTGCCAGGCTGAGTGCAGAGTGCCCACCAGGCAACCCCAACTATTTCTCAGGCTCCTCACCCAGCTCACTGAGGTCAGCAGTGTGGTCCCATTTCACAGACAAGAAGACTGAGTCTCGGAGAGACCAGAGGTCTTTCCCAGGCTCATGTATCTGGAAAGGGGAAAGGGCCTTCTCCCTCCAGAGGTGTGGCACCCTGGAGAAGGCTGGTTGGGGGGTTGGCAGGGGGTTGAACTTTGCTCCGTAGGGAACTGGGGAGCAAAGGTTGCAGCTTGGCTAGAGGGACCGGGACTCCTGTGCGAGAGATGGGCAAGAAGCAACTTCCCCAAGCCCTCAGCTGCACACAGCCCCCCACCCAAAGCAGTCCCCAGGTAGAGAAGCGGCCAGGCACTGTGGCAAGGAAAGGCCAGGCAGAGCAAGGAGGAAGTGACGGCCAAGGGCAGGGGCTGGGCAGAGAGGGCAGGGGGTCAGGGATGGGACCAGCCTGAGAGCCTCAGATTCGCAGAGAGGCCGGGGCAGTGTGGGGAGCGGGGGCAGGGCTTTGTCCAGAGCCCTTGACCCCACTGTGGGAAGGCGGCTTTCAGGAGGCACTGGGAGCCCAGGAAGGCTGCAGAGAGCTTGGCTGAGAGCAGAGCTGCTCCCTGGGTGCCAGGGGCACTGGCATAGGGAATGGATCCAGAGGTGAGCCGGGCAGAGGGCCATCAGGAGACTCCTGGGCTCAATCCATCCTCCTGCCTCGGTCTACCAAAGTGGTGGGATTACAGGCGGGAGCCATTGCACCCGGCCTACCAGGAGACTGGCTGGCAGGGACATGGGCACGAGCCTCCAGGGCAGCATCTTAGTGACAACTTCTGAGCTATTAGCCGGTCGTGGGGCCCACACCAGTCATCCCAGCTACTCGGGAGGCTGAGGTGGGAGGATTGATTGAGCCTGGGAGTTCGAGGCTGCAGTGAGCTGTGACTAGATAACCAGAACCCAAGGTAGATGTGTATGAGCGTGGGCCTGGAGTATGCAGAGCCAGGGAGGTGGTATGGAGGCAGGCCCTTCCTGTAAAACCATCAAGGTGGGCTTCCCGGAGGAGGCCATCTTTGCACTGTAATTTTGGGAACTGGCTGTGTATGTGTGGCTATGGCTTCAGCATCATGGGGGCTTGCAGTCAAGACAGGGCTTGTGAAGGCCCCTCGGGCTGGAGTTCAGGCCCTGTCCCTCCCCTGAGCCCACCACCAGACCACCCTTGAGTGAGGAGTCTCAGGCAGGACAGAGAGTGGCTAGACCCCCTCACTTTTTACCTGGGAAGACTGAGGCCAGAGAGGGCAGCAGCTGGTCAAGGTCACCCAGCCATGCAGCGCCAGCCCCGGGAGAGGTCTCCTGCTGGCTGGTCACGCCATCCCTCCCAGGCACCAGTGCGGGAGTGTGTGACTGATAAGAGTCTGTTCCTGCCGCCAGCCTCCCCCAACTTCCTGAGCTGCACCCCAAGCAGCCAGGTGCACATAGCCTCTGCTGGCCCGCCTCTGCCACTTATGGCACCTCCTCCAGGAAGCCTTCCCCATGAGCTCCCATGCGCCCAGCTCCCAGGCTTGGCTGCCTCTCAAAGACCCTGTGATTGTGTCATGTCCTCACAGAAAACATGGAAAAATCGGCCAGGCGAGGTGGCTCAGGCCTGTAATCCTAGCACTGTGGGAGGCTGAGGCGGGTGGATCACCTGAGGTCAGGAGTTTAAGACCAGCCTGGCCAACATGGGGAAACCCTGTAAAAATACAAAATTAGCTGAATGTGGTGGCACACGCCTGTAATCCCAGCTACTTGGGAGGCTGAGGCAGGAGATTCACTAGAACTTGAGAGCCAGAGGTTGCAGTGAGCTGAAATTGTGCCACTGTACTCTAGCAGGGGCAACAGAGCAAGACTCTGTCTTAATTAAAAAAAAAAAAAAAAAAAAACATGGAAAGTCCAGAAAGGTTTAAAGGCAAACACTATAAAACACTATAATCACCCATATTTTTTCCCAGGCTTTTTTTTCTTTTTTTAAGGCAAGGTCTCACTCTGTCGCCCATGCTGGAGTACAGTGGCACAATCATTTCTCACTGCAGCCTCCACCTCCTGGGTTCAAGCCATCCTCCCACCTCAGCCTCCCGAGTAGCTGGGACTACAGGCACACACCACCATGCCCAGTTACTTTTTGTATTTTTAAAATTTGTATTTATTTATTTATTTTTGTAGAGACGGGGTCTCCTTATGCTGCCCAGGCTGGTCTCAAACTCCTGGGCTCAAGTAATCCTCCTGCCTTGGTCTACCAAAGTGCTGGGATTACAGGTGTGAGCCACCATGCCCAGCCTACCAGGCATTTTTAACATAATTTGAGATTCTCCTTTATCATCTTAATTTTTAAATGCTGCATTGTATCAGAGCATTTCCTTACACGGGTGTATTTTTTTTTTCTTTTTTAATGTTTTTACATTTATTTAACTTAAAAAAAATTTTACTTCTTTTTTAAAAAGATGGGGTCTCGCTATGTTGCCCAGGCTGGAGTGCAGTGGCTATTCACAGGTGCGATCCCACTACTAATCAGCACGGGAGTTTTGACCTGCTCCGTTTCCGACCTGGGCCGCTTCACCCCTCCTTAGGGAACCTGGTGGTCCCCCGCTCCCAGGAGGTCACCATATTGATGCCGAACTTAGTGTAGACACCTGATCAGCATAGCGCACTGCAGCCCAGAACTCCTGGGCTCAAGAGAACCTCCAGCCTCAGCCTCCTGAGTAGCTGGGACTACAGATGCTCACCACCCTACCTGGCTAGTTTTTATTATTTGATCTTTTGTAGAGACGGCATCTCACTCTGTGGCCCAAGCTGATCTCAAACTCCTGGGGTCAAGCAGTCCTCCCACCTCGGCCTCCCAAACTGCTGGGATTACAGGTGTGAGCTACTGCACCTGGCTAATTTTTTAATTTTTTTCTCGAGACACAAGGGCTCACTATGTTGCCCTGGTTATAGGTGTATTTTTTTTTTTTTTTTTTTTTGGAGATAGAGTCTCACTGTCGCCCAGGCTGGAGTGCAGTGGTGTGATCTCGGCTCACTGCAGCCTCCGCCTCTCAGGTTCAAGGGATTCTCCTGCCTCAGCCTCCCGAGTAGCTGGGATTACAGGCACACACCACCATACCAGGCAAAATTTTGTACTTTTAGTAGAGATGAGGTTTCACCATGTTGGTCAGGCTGGTCTTGAACTCCTGGCCTCAAGTGATCTGCCCGCATTGGCCTCCCAAAGTGCTGGGGTTACAGGTGTGAGCCTCTGTAGGTGTATTTTTTTTTTTTTTTTTTTTTTCGAGACGGAGTTTCGCTCTTGTTACCCAGGCTGGAGTGCAGTGGCACGATCTCGGCTCACCGCGACCTCCACCTCCTGGGTTCAGGCAATTCTCCTGCCTCAGCCTCCTGAGTAGCTGGGATAACAGGCACGTGCCACCATGCCCAGCTAATTTTTTATATTTTTAGTAGAGACGGGGTTTCACCATGTTGACCAGGATGGTCTCGATCTCTCGATCTCGTGATCCACCCACCTCGGCCTCCCAAAGTGCTGGGATTACAGGCTTGAGCCACCGTGCCCGGCTGTAGGTGTATTTTTTAGCATGGTTTTCACTGGTGGTATAACAGCTCTTTGCACTGTTGCACCACGAGGTGACCAGCCTGTCCCACCATGTGGGACATGCCTGGGTCTTTGTACAGAAACCTCCTTGTTTCTGAATATATTTGTTGCTAGGGAACAATAAAATTCTTTTTATGTTTTGATTTGTTTTGTTGTTGACACAGGCTGACTCTGTCACCCAGGCTGGAGTCCAGTGGCATGATCTCGGCTCACCAAAACCTCCACCTCTCGGGTTCAAGCAATTCTTGTGCCTCAGCCTCCCAAGCAGCTGGGATTATAGGGGCGTGCCACCATGCCTGGCTAATTTTTTTATTTTTTAGTAGAGATGGGGTTCTCCCTGTTGGCCAGGCTGGTGTTGAACTCCTGAGCTCAGGCAATCCACACAATGCCAGGATTACAGGTATGAGCCATGTGCCCAACCCCTAGGGACAAATTCTTTTTTTTTTTTTTTTGAGACGGAATTTCACTCTTGTTGCCCAGGCTGGAGTGCAATGGCAAGATCTTGGCTCACCACAACCTCCCCCTCGCAGGTTCAAGCAATTCTCCTGCCTCAGACTCCCAAGTAGCTGGGATCACATGCATGTGCCACCACACCAGGCTAATTTTGTGTTTTTAGTAGAGACGGTTTTTCCATGTTGATAGGGCTGGCCTGGAACTCCCAACCTCAGGTGATCTGCCCACCTCAGCCTCCCAAAGTGCTGGGATTACAAGCATGAGCCACGGCACCTGGCCAGGGACAAATTCTTAGGAATCAAAGGGCTCGTGAAGACCCCTCGGGCTGGAGTTCAGGCCCTGTTCTACCCCTGAGCCCACCGCCAGACCACCCTTGAGTGAGGAGTCTCAGGCAGGACTGGGAGCAGCTAGACCCCCTCACTTTATACCTGGGAGGACCGAGGCCAGAGAGGACAGCAGCTGGTCAAGGTCACCCAGCCAGGCAGTGCCAGCCGGGAGAGGTCTCCTACTGGCTGGTCATGCCGTCCCTCCCAGGCACCAGTGGGGGAGTATGTGAACAAGTCCTTTGGATGCCTCCACAGCAAAAGCCAACCTACCTTCTGAGAGTCTGCCCAGCCCGGGGCCAGGACATGTCCCCTCTGTCCCCCGGGTCGGACACTTAGCTGGACTGGGCTCTGGAAACTCCTGCTGAATGAAGCAACGAGTGAGCGTTCCTGTGGCCAGCCTAGGAACAAACAGGACCCTCGCTCATGACCAAGGAGGTTATTCAGAAAAAAAAAAGGATCTATTGTACAACACTGTGACTATGATAAACAACAACATATTCTATGCTTGAAAATGGCTAAGAGAGGACATTTTCCGTGTCCTCCCTGCAAAGAAATGCTAAGTATGGGAGATAACGGAGATGTGACTGGGTTCGACTCAGCGCTTTCCCAGAAACACACATACCAGACATTACACTGCACACTGTAAGTGCATACAATTTGATTTGCCAATTTAAAAAATAAATTTTAGCTGGGCGAGGTGGATCACGCCTGTAATCCCAGCACTTTGGGAGGCCGAGGTGGGCGGATCATGAGTTCAGGAGTTCAAGACCAGCCTGACCAACTTAGTGAAACCCTGTCTCAGCTAAAAATACAAAATTTAGCTGGGCGTGGTGGTGCATGCCTGTAATCCCAGCTACTCGAGAGCTGAGGCGGGAGAATCACTTGAACCCTGGAGGCAGAGGTTGTGGTGAACCAAGATTGCCCCACTGCACTCCAGTGTGGGCAACAGTGAGACCCTGTCTCAAAACAGTAATTTAAAAAAAAAAAAAAAAAAACGATTTTTGAGAAACACAGCTTTTTGTTTTTGTTTGTTTTGTTTTTTGAGACAGAGTCTCGCACTGTCACCACACTGGAGTGCAGTGGCACAATCTTGGCCCACTGCAACCTCCACCTCCCGGGTTCAAGCGATTCTCCTGCCTCAGCCTCTCAAGTAGCTGGGATTACAGGCATGCACCACCACACCCAGCTCATTTTTGTATTTTTAGTAGAGACGGGGTTTCACCATGTTGGCCAGGCTGGTCTTGAACAGCTGACCTCAAATGATCCACCCACCTCAGCCTCCCAAAGTGCTGGGATTACAGGTGCGAACCAGGGCGCCCAACCATAAAAAGTAAATTTTTCAATTGTGTATTATTTTTAGTTGTAACCAGAAATATGTATTTAATATATACTTTTACATTGAAACTTATATGTACTTCTATAGTAAATACGTATAAAAATATGTATCTGATTACAATAGGGAAAAAAATTTCTTTAATAGTAAAAAGCATGCCCATTGTAGAAACCTAGAAACTGCAGGAGCACAGAAGGTGCCTGGTGGCCTGTGCCCACCCATCCCCACCTCCTTCCTGGCTCACCTGGGCTGGTGTGGGGTTACCAGGTGGGCCCGTCTGTCACCCAGACCCTCCTGCACCCACCCACACCTCCTTCCTGGGCTGGTGCAGGGATGCCAAGAGGGCCCGGCTCTCACCCAAACCCTCCTGCTGTGCCCAGATCTACCTGCACCTACGTTCCTACACCGTGCCGCAGGAGCAGCGCTATGTCATCCGCCTGCTCCTCATCGTGCCCATCTATGCCTTCGACTCCTGGCTCAGCCTCCTCCTCCTGGGAGACCACCAGTACTACGTCTACTTTGACTCCGTGCGAGACTGCTATGAAGGTGAGCCCTGGGCTGTGTCAGGTCATGGGGAGCGGAGGGAGAGACTCCCCACGGCCAGCCCCCAGGAGCACCCCACTCTCCTGGCCCCTGTCGGAGGGGCTGCTACAATGGTCGGGGTTAGCGGCACTGGCAGGCCTGGAACATACGACCCCACAGCCTCTGGGAGAGGGGCTCGGTGGACCTGCCCTGGCCTGCAGTGGCCCTGACGGAGCACCCTGACCCTCTCAGGCACCCTGCTGTAGATGGGGCCCTTCAGGGAGCCTCTTGCTGTGTGGCCTGCCAGGCCCCGCCCCTCCTGAGCCTCCTTGTGTCCTGGTGCGATGGGTGCCATGGGGTCCTGGTGCAGCTCAGGGCTCACAACTGGTCCCCCTCTGCGCTCCCTGCAGCCTTTGTCATTTACAGCTTCCTGAGCCTGTGTTTCCAGTACCTAGGAGGAGAGAGTGCCATCATGGCCGAGATCCGTGGAAAGCCCATCAAGTAAGCCCCTCACCCCAGACCCCTGCACCACACACACCCAGGACAGGGAGCCCAGGCAGCGCTGGGGCCCTTCTTCCACGCCAGCTCAGGGACATCCTCCCCCAGGTCCAGCTGCTTCTACGGCACCTGCTGCCTCCGGGGCATGACCTACTCCATCGGGTTCCTGCGCTTCTGCAAGCAGGTGAGGGGGCCCACCCAGCCCTGCCTGCCCTCCTTCCACCCAGCCCTGTCCCCGCTCCCACCTGGCCCTGCCCCCCCCCCCGACCTGGCCCTGTCCCCTCTCCTCCCACCCTAGCCCTTCTGGACTTGGCCAACCCAGTGACACCCCGCCCAGTGTCGAGGGGCTGCTCACTGCTGGCTGCCCCATCCCCCATCCCTGGGCTCCGGGGGGATCCTGCCCCGTGCCAACCAGATGCCCTCATGCCTAGGCCACTCTGCAGTTCTGCCTGGTGAAGCCTGTCATGGCCATTACCACCATCATCCTCCAGGCATTCGGCAAATACCATGACGGGGACTTCAAGTAAGGCAGGAGCTTTGGGGGTGCCTGGCAAGAGGTGGTCACTGGGTAGGGTCCCCTGGGGCCTGGGAGTGGCACCCCACAAGGCAGGCTTGGCATCCAGCCGGGCTAGGAGTCCCCCAGGATGGGCACCCACTTCCTCTCCACAAGGACCTCAGCACTGCCAAGGCCAGGGGGCTGGACCTCCCCTTGCAGGACGCACCGGGTTGAAGCTTCAACCCAGTGCCAGTGTCTGTAATGAGGACCCCAGGGCTTTGTGGCAGCCAGTGATGGCCCCAGCTCCGACCCCGCCATGGGCTCCCTTGACATTTAGGGCATCTGGGCCAAGAGGGCCAAGGTCCACCCCGACCTGTTGGCCAGAAAACAGGCAGCCACCCAGCACAGGAAGGACCCCAGCCAAGGTCCATACACACACTCACCAACACCACACATGTGCACACACGTGCTTTTATATGTGCACACGTATCATATGTGTATGTTCACACATGCACACAGCACGTGTGCAAACCATGCACACAGCACAATTACGTATGTTCACACGTGCATGCAATGTGTGCACACACAGCACGATGCACCCCACTCATGCACGTGCACACATGGCATACATGCACACACACACATAGATACACACTCAGGCACGACATCTGTGTGTCCACCACACAGAGGACCTTCAGGCAGTGGCCAGGTGGACTGGATTGGGAGGCATGGGCATTTTGACAGAGGCAGCGTGGATGATGCCCGAGCAGAGGATGGGATCCTGGGATGAGGAGGGGCAGGGCTGGTAGGGAGAACAGCCGTGTGGCCCTGCCCTGCCCTGCAGAGCCCTGAAGCCACCCCAGCTCCCCATGCTCTCCTGCAGGCCCTGGAGTGAGGATCAGATTGGGCCAGGGTCTCTGCAGGGCCCATGCCCCTGGGTGGGGGCCAGGCCGAGGGTGTGGCGGCAGCAGCTCTGGGGTGGGGAGGGTGGTGGGGACGTGGGGCCATCCTGACCACAGCTCCTGTCTGGCCCAGTGTCTGCAGCGGCTACCTCTATGTGACCCTCATCTACAACGCCTCCGTCAGCCTCGCCCTCTACGCCCTGTTTCTCTTCTACTTCACCACCAGGGAGCTCCTGCGGCCCTTTGAGCCTGTCCTCAAGTTCCTCACCATCAAAGCCGTCATCTTTCTGTCATTTTGGCAGGGTGTGTGGGGCGACTGGGGTGGGAGTATGCCAGGGCTATAGTCCAGAGAGCCCAGGTTCACCTCACACCCCATCCCGGGTTCACACCCCCATCCCAGGTTCACACCCCATCCCAGGTTCACCTCACACCCCCATCCCAGGTTCACACCCCAACCCTGGGTTCACCTCACACCCCCATCCCAGGTTCACACCCCAACCCCGGGTTCACCACACCCCATCCCAGGTTCACACCCCCATCCCGGGTTCATCTCACACCCCATCCTGGGTTCATACCCCATCCCGGGTTCACACCCCCATCCCAGGTTCACCTCACACCCCCATTGCAGGTTCACACCTCAACCCCAGGTTCATCTCACACCCCCATCCCAGGATCACACTCCCATCCCGGGTTCACACCCCCATCCAGGGTTCACCTCACACCCCATCCTGGGTTCACACCCCCATCCCAGGTTCACACCCCAACCCTGGGTTCACCTCACATCTCCACCCCAGGTTCACCTCATACCCCCATCCAGGGTTCACCTCACACCCCCATCCCAGGTTCACACCCCCATCCGGGGTTCATCTCACACCCCCACCCCAGGTTCACCTCACACCCCTGTCCTGGGTTCACACCCCAATCCAGGGTTCACCTCACACCCCCATCCAGGGTTCACCTCACACCCCCATCCCAGGTTCACACCCCCATCCAAAGTTCACCTCACACCCCCATCCTAGGTTCATACCCCTGTCTAGGGTTCACCTCACACCCCCATCCCAGGTTCACACCCCAATTGTGGGTTCACCTCACACCCCTGTCCAGGGTTCACCTCACATCCCCATTCCGGGTTCACACCCCCATCCAGGGGTCACCTCACACCATCATCCCAGGTTCACACCCCCATCCCAGGTTCACCTCATACCTGCACCGGGGGTTCATCTCATGCCCCCTTCCCCAGGCCCCATGAGCTTCAGTTTCCCCAGCTGTGGCACAGATCAGCTGGAAGGTAAATCTTTACCCTGTGCCCAGGGTAAAGCCTGTGGGCACAGGGGAAGTAGGGAGGTCCCACTTTGGGGCTGGAGCAGCAGGGCAGGCCCAGGAGGGCTCCTGAGCATCTGCTGTGCTGAGATCCCTGACTTTGAAGGTGCCCTGCCCCCCTGAACCTCGGTCTCCCCTGGGTGGGACGAAACCACACGGACAGGATCACAGAGCATCGGGGAGCTGCTTCAGGGTCCAGGGCCTCTTCCTCCCCTGTAGACCCCATCGGGGGCTGGGGCTGAGTGGCTGTGGCATCCGCAGGGCTGCTGCTGGCCATCCTGGAGCGATGTGGGGTCATCCCAGAGTTGGAGACCATCAGCGGGAACAGGCTGGGGGCTGGCACGCTGGCCGCCGGCTACCAAAACTTCATCATCTGCATGGAGATGCTGTTCGCCTCTGTGGCCCTGCGCTACGCCTTCCCCTGTGAGGTGTATGCAGAGAAGAAGGACAACTTGCCAGGTACATCCTGCCTTCCAGCCAGGGCACCCAGAACGCACAGCCCTGCCTTCCAGCTGGGGCACCGGGTCTGTGTCCATGTGACCACTCTCGAGGTCCAGGAATGCCAGCTCACTGGGCAGGGAGATGGCCAATGGGTATCCAGCTCCAGAAAGGCACCTGGGCTGTGTGGGGTCCAGGTAGTCCCAGACCCCAATGGTGATAGGGGATGGGCATCCCCTGCCAGGCACGCCCCCCATTAGGGTGGGGACAGCCTGCGGCCTGTCTGCCTGGCTTCTCATCAGTCTTTGTGGAGTGGTCAGGGTGCACACCCAAGGCCAGCCAAAGGTGTACCCTGCTGCTCAGAGCCCCTCCGAAACTTCAGGGGGATGCAGTCCTTGGCAGGGGTCTGGCCAGAGATAGTCCCGATGCTGGGTGGAGGAAGCTGGACTGGGGTCCAAGGATCTGGCCAGGGACAGGCCCAGTGTTGGGTGGAGGAAGCTAGACTGGGGTCCAGGGGTCTGGGGCCACCCTCCGCTGGCTGATGCCAGACCTGGACATGCAGGATCCCCAGCCCTGGGCATCTGGGAGGCAGGGCTGAGGGGCATGTCCGGGGGCTGAAGTGCAGAGGGGATGGTGGGGTTCACATGCTGCCTTCCCCCAGCTCCCCCAGCCCCCATGCAGAGCATCTCCAGCGGCCTCAGGGAGACAGTGAGCCCCCAGGACATCGTGCAGGACGCCATCCACAACTTCTCCCCCGCCTACCAGCACTACACACAGCAGGCCACCCACGAGGTGCCCCGACCTGGCACCCACCCTGGTGGCGGCTCTGGGGGCAGCAGGAAGAGCCGGAGCCTGGAGAAGCGGATGCTGATCCCCTCAGAGGACCTGTAGGGGGGCCTGGCCTGCTGGCACCTAGCTAAGGACCCAGGTTGCCCAGGCCTCTGGGAAGAACAGGGTCCCCCGACCCATCAACCCTTCTGCCAAAGGTGGGGCCTCTCCTGAGAGCCCTCCTGTGAGGCCCTCCGAGCCCACTTCCCATCCTCACTCCAGCCCGGGGTTCAGGGCACTTAATGGCCCTGCCAGGCACCCAGGTGGGCCAGCTGCCCCAGGAGAGGGCACCTGAGCCAATCGGAAGAGCCTGGGGACACCCTGGGATCACCTGCCATCAGTCCCCAGGGTCACTGTGGGGTGGGCAGTGAGTGTGGCTGCAGGGCCTCGGCTGCACGGGCCTCACCGGCACTGTGAGTGGGTCAGACGCCCTGATTCAGGAGACAGACAGTGGACAGATCCGAGGCTGGACAGCCGCAGGGAGGGGCACCAGGGCATTGGGCAGCCCAGCCCTGACACAGCAGCTCTGAGTGCTGCAGGCTGGCAGGGTCCACACAGGCTGGCAGGGGCTGGGCTTCCTCAGAGCCTGCCGTGGCCATTGTGGGCATGTAGAGAAGGGCCCACGTGACTCCACATGCCAGCCACAGGGAGCGCTGGCCAGGTGCCCACCAGGTGTGCCTGGGATGGTTCACAGAACCACCGGGTGCCTGTGAGGCTGGCTAGTGCCACAGGGCTGCGAGAATCGCTCTTATTTATATTTAAACACCTTGGATTTTCTACTGAGTCTTGGCTTCTGTTCCTGCAGGGCCTGTAGCCTTGGGAGCAGGCAGCAGTCGGGGGGTCACAGGAGGCCGACTGCTCAGAGTCTGCACGTGGGAAAGGGGGTCCCACCCGTCTGGGGTGGCCAGCCTCGTTGCCCAGGGTGGTGCAGGACAGAGGCCAGGCTGTGAGATCACAGCTGCCGCCTTTCTTCCGGGAGCTTCTGCTTCCTCCAGAATGGGCCTCGTGCCAGCCCCATCCGCAGCGGGGGTAGAGGCCACGAGGGCAGAGCACTGAGCATCTGAGTCACAGGGGGGGCTTCTGCCTGGGCGCCTCCCTTCTCTTGTTCCTCCACGTGCCAGGCACGGCCCTGGGTTTGAGGAGCCAAGCCTCAGACACATGCCCTGCCCTCAGGAAGCCGGAGGCACCCAAGTGGCCTTTGAAATCCCGGCGTCGAGAACAACTGCCACCCAGGGACCGAAGGGGCTTCTGGGAGGACGCGTGGCTGGACCAGGGCGAGGGGTGTCACTGTAGGGGCACCCCCCCAGGCCCAGGGCCCGTAAGGGAAGAGAGCAATGACCCAGCCTGCAGGTAGCGGTCAGCTCTGTGTGTCTGGGGCACGAAGCACAGGTTGGGTGGGGGCTGGGGTAGGGGCAGCAGAAGTTGGCAGAGCCTGGGAGGGGGGCTCAGACGGTGGGTGTGGAGAGCCAGGGAATAGCAGGCACAGCAGACAGGAAGGCTCACTGGGCACCACCCAGGAACCGCAGCTCCCATCCACACTGCCCCCTCCCATGGCCACCAGGAACAGCGGGAAATGTGTCTCGGGTCTCTGAGGGACTCGGCAGGGTGGCAACAGACCAGTGGTGCCCGGGCTAGAGAGGATCCACTCCCAGACTCTTGCTTTCTGGGCTGGGGACATGGGGACCCAAGGCCAGTGGGTCTGCAGGGCCCAGCTGGGCTGCCTGATGAGAGGCCGAGCTCCTCCCTGGCTAGAAAGACCCCCACCCGCCTTACTGGACCTCTGTAGGGGGAGGCCCACCAGGCAGCCACCATCTCTCATCCCATCAGCAGGTGGGAGCATGGTGCTCCCCAGGTAACTGCTGCCAAGGGGCAGTTTCTGGAGGCTAGGGACACTGGCCGAACCCTGGGCCTGCTCTCCCCTTGCCCTGGGGAAGGCCACCCCTTTAGGGCTTGAATTGCCCAAATCTCGGGTTTGGAGGGTGCATGGCCGAGGGCTCCCCTTCTGGAGACCCAGATACTGCATAGGCTCCAGGCGGCAGAGGCTGAGGGCCAAGGACTGGGCTCCTATGCCAGCAGTACATCAGAAGACCATGCCAGGAAACTGACACACTCAGCACTCACACCAGCCAGGATGGCGACTGAGCTCAGAGAGGCGTAGGAAGTTGCCTGAGGTCACAGAGCAGCGACTTGGACAGCAGTGAGCCAGCTCTGCAGAGGCCATCTCTCCACCCTGCCGCCTGCCCCTCACAGATGCCTCTCCCCTGCAGACGAGGCTGCTTCTGCTGCTTTCCAACACAGCTTGAAGGAAAGCCCTTAGGGCTAAACCCACTCTGCGTGGATGAAGGCAGTGTGAGGCGGTCCAGGCCAGGCTCGCCCACCTTGGGAGGGAGCATGGGCACACGCGAGTGGGGGAGGGCAGAGAACGCGTGGTTCCAGTGTCATCATCACTGCTGAAAAAGGGGTTCCCCAGTGACAGGCCCCAGCAGAGGAGCGGGCCTCGAGGCAGGCAGGAGCCACGTGTCTTAGCTGGATGCTCCCACCAAGCTCTCTAGCCCCCACTAGCCTCAGTGTCCTCATCTGGAGATGGTCCAGCTGAGAATCCTCAGCGATCTGCAAGAAAGGCTGGAAGCCTTGGAGGGCCTGGCCTGGCCTGGGTGCAGGCTGCGTGGCCGTGCGGGGTGCTGTCTCCTTTCACAGCTTCCTCACCTATCCTCACCCAGGAGGAGCAGGCTGGGCCCAGAGCCACAGGGTGGGCCACAGGGAGGTTGGATTTAGCTGGGGAAAGAACCATCCCTGCCATTGCTAGTGACAAGCTCAGGCTGCAGTAGCCCCAGCAGATTCCACCCTCACTGCACCATGCGCCGGCTACTGCACTCACCTCCACGCTGAACTCGCAGGAAGCAAGGCTGGGTCGGGGGGACTTGCCCCAGGCCACATGGATGCTGAGAGCTGGGATTCTGACGGGGCGCAGTGGCTCACGCCTGAAATTTCAGCACTTGAGGAGGCCAAGGTGGGCGTATTGCTTGAGCCTAGGAGTCTGAGACCAGCCTGGACAACATGGCAAAACATCATCTCTATAAAAAAATACAAAAATTAGCTGGGCGTGGTGGTGCATGCCAGTGGTCCCAGCTACTTAGGAGGCTGAGATGGGAGGACCGCTTGAACCCAGGAGGTTGAGGCTGCAGTGAGCTGTGATCATCCCACTGCACACTCCAGCCTGGGTAACAGAGCGAGATCCTGTCTCAAAAAATTTTTTTGGGATTTCACCCAGTATGGTCCAGCACTGGAGGGTGTTCAGACCCCAGTTGGCTCAGCCCCAAAAATGGGGACGGGTGGGCAGGGGCTGCTCTCCCCAGAAGCTCAGGCAGGGCAGGGACAGCCTCTGGGCGGGCCCTTGACTTTTCCAAGGAGTCCACAGGCTTCCGTCCGCTGTGCAGGGAGCTTTGCTCTCTGCTCCCGGACAGACTCTGTCTGGCTCAGAACTTCCTGCAGGCTCCACTGAGAGTCCAGCAAAGCTGGGTGAGGGGTCTCACGGGGAAGGGGTCGCTGACCGCTGCACTGCTTTCTGCTCCTTCACTGGAAGAGAGAGGTTGCCTGGACGGGAGGCTCCAGGTGGAGCAGAGATGCTCAGGACTGCAGCTTGACCCTCAGAGACCAGGCCCAGGACGTGGCCACCTGACCGGCACCTCCCCTGTGGCTGTCCCAGCATCACAGTCACGGGCTGGCAGTCTGAGAAACCCACTTACACGTGGTACCCAGATCCTGACCCTGACCCTCCCTGGTGAGGGACAGGTGGGGTCCCCTGGGATGGGGGAGTGGTTCTTGGCCCAAGAAAGCCCCAGCTGAAAGCACCAACGACACAAGGGTCTGAAACCAGAAAATTCTTTATTGCAAAGGTACAAAAGCGTTCACAGCAGCAGGACGCATGGCAATAAATTAGGTGGTGGCCGCAGGGACGGGGCCGGGCGGCGGCGGCCAGACACGGGCCCACATGTGATCTGTTCTCAATAATTTATATCATGATAAAAAGCAACACAAAAATAAATATTGAAATGGAACTGCCCAGTAGCACAGAGGCCAGGGTGAGGCGGTCTGGAGGCGGGGGCAGGAGTCCCCACGCCTGGGAAACTCGAAGACCTGGATCTCTTTGGGAAGCCGGAGGCACGGAGACAAAAAACAAACCCACTCGACAAAGAGGCCTTCGTCTTTTAAATAAAAAAAAAAAAAAAAAAAAAATCCATATATTAAATCATGACAACGAAATTTCAACAATCTGGAAGGAAAAGCAGAACACGCCGTCCTTCCCTGGCCCGGCCCTGGACGGTGACGGGCTCCATCTACCCTGGGGGCCGGGGGCGGGGAGTTCCCTCTCTGGCAAGGCACCGCAGGCCAAGGCAGGTAGACGCCCATGGCCCGCAAGACGTGGATGCCAAGAACCTCAAGACGGGACAGAACCGGCCACCCGCTGTGGCCTGTCCTGCGGGGCCCAGTGGCCTGGTGTGGTCCGTGGGAAGACAGGAGGGGGCGGGGACGGCAGGCGGCCTGGGGCTCCCAACTCCCACCGTGCCCGCGCCCGCAGCTCTGCTGATCTGCTGATAGATTTACAGTATCAAACTGGAAAACAAAGATTGTTACGAAAAATCTGTAGATAAACTGTGAATATAATTTTATATCTCTATATATTTTGTTTCTCTCTTTAAATATCCCCCTGGTCCTTATGACATCCAATATGGATTACCTACCACGGCCATGGGGGCAACGGCTGTTTGGGAACGTGCAGCCCTTTGCTCTGTTGGGACCCGGTGGCCCTGGCGGGCCTGCAGATTCCCACTCACTTCTAACAGTAGATGCAAAACCAAGTCGCAGCCCTGGGGCTGCCTGTATTGCGACCTCCCAGTGTGGCTGGCACTGGCCGGGGGTCTGCAGCTGGTGGGGGGTGTTACCAGGTGGGCATGGGCCACTGAGAGGGAGCCGGGGCCCCAGGCACCACATTGCATGTCCTACGTGGCAGCCCCAGATGGGGCTCGCATCTGCCAGCTCCCCCAGGCAGGGGCTCTGCGATCCCCCGGCTCCCGCCGTGGAGGCCCCAGTCACAGGAAGGACCCTCAAGCGGCTCTCCAGGAAAGGAAGCCCAAGGTGACGTGTCAACCCCACTGGTGCCTCGGTGCTCTGGGAAGGAGGAGCAGGCGAAGGCTCTGAATGAGGACTGAGTGCTGAGGGCCTGCAGCCCGTGGCTGTGCTCCTGGCGGTCTGCACGCAGGAACCACATCCATGAGGTTCTCCTGGCCTGGTGCCTGCCACTGCCCAGCCCGTCATGCCCTCCGGAGTGCCAGGCCCACTCCCAAGCTCCTCTACAACCAAGGGGCGTCCTGGTCCTGCCCCTGAAGGCTCTCCACCCGCTCTCGAACACAGCTCCCGCCTCCTCTGCCACCCCACGAGACTTCCTCCCTCCCACCTCCACGTCCACGTCCACCAACATCCCCCAGGCTGCATCCCCTCCCCAGGCCCCCAAAAGACCTCCTCATTCCCCCTGCACTGACCACAGCTGGCGAGAAGCAGCTCCAGGACACAGAGCCTGAGTCCTGCTCACTGTCACCTGATTGGATGCTCCTGCCTGTCTCCACCAAGATCTGACAGTCTGCAGGGTCCGTGTCTGGGCGGCTGGCTCCCATGGGCAGGGGGCTTCTGTGCTATTCGATCTCCTCCGATCATTAGAGCACAGAGACCTCACAATGTATGAGCCATTCTCTGCCACGCGTGCCCACAGGCCCTCCCTTGGTGAACGCCAGCAAGCTGCCCCCCTCAGCCCCAGTGCTGTGATGCCAGGCGTGCCTGCACACACCCGCGTGCACACACAGACACGCCACCCCACGCAGGTGGCCTCCCACACCTGCAGGCCTCTGCTAAGGCAGAAGCAGGTCACAGCCACTCCAACAGGACAGCTGGAAGGACGGACGCACCATCCACGCCCCTCCACGGGGGCTGTGGAGTTGGTCAGGGCAGCGAGGGGCCCCCACACCAGCTGGAGGGCTGTGGCAGGACAGGTGTTGATAGCTGTTCACGGCAGGAGTGGAAGACGAGCCACATGCTGACCCAGCCACAGGGGCCTGACTTCTGGGGCCGTGTCTCCTGGCAGCCCCTGCAGGGGACAGCGGAACTTCCCGAAGGAACAATCCAACCAGACTCCCACGGGCACAAGACACCAATTCCCACACATGGACACATCCTGCAGGGAGCCGGGGGCACGCGTGAGTGGGTGCGTATGCGTGCATGTGGACCGGTGGGCTCACTGGAGCCCACTCCTCGCCCTGCACCACAGTTTCATCCCGGCTTGAGCTGCCTGCACGTGAGGGGCCTGCGCTTGGACTTGGATGTTGAAAGTGCGTCCCCGTGACAGGCTTGAGGGGTGCGACACTGCTCGCCTGCCTGCCGCCCCCTGCCTCTGGTAGGCACTATGAGGCGGCCGAGAAGGGTACGGAGGTGGAGGAGAGCTCGGCGGACTTGACAATGGTGATGACGCTGGTGGTGGCCACCTTGGAGGGTGCCACGGGCCCACGGGCCACGGTGCGTGCGAAGGTCTGCAGCGCCTCGTACTTGGAGCGCAGCGCATCCAGCTCCAGCCGCATGCTGCTGTTCTCACGCGCCAGCTTCTCCACCTCCTGCTGCAGCTCCACGCGCTGCCGCTCCAGCTCCTCCTTCTGCGTCACCCGTTTGATGCGGCAGCTGGCCGCGTAGCCACGGTTCTTGAGTGTGCGCCGCCGCTGCTTTAGGCGGGTCACCTCTTCCTTGGTGAGGCCCCGCAGGTGCTGGTTCAGCTCCCGCACTGACATGGACACCAGCTCATCGTCGCTGAGCACCGGGGCGTTCTCGCCCGCCTCCTTCTTGACCTGGGGGGCCACAGCGCAGGGTCAGTGGCAGGAGAACGTGGGGTGCCCGCCTGGGACCAGCACCGGCATGGTCAGGGACCCAGCGGTACCCCGGCATGCCCGCGCGCTCTCGGGGCTGGCCTTCAGACCGCAAGACGCCATGCATGCAGGCAGCCCACATGATGGCTGTAGCCCCACAGGACCCTTTCTGAATGGGAAAAGCCAGCGGTGACATTGGTCACTCCTGGTTACTGACAGCCTCAGGGCCTGAGAGGACCCAGAGCACACACGTTCTGCTGCTGGGACTGAGCTGCTTCACAGGCATGTGCCACTGCAGAGGTGGGAAGCGCTGGTCACAGATGGGCTCAGGCCCTGGGAGCTGGAGCATCCCATTCACCAGAGGCCACACCGCCCACACCTGGAGTGGGAGGATGAGGCCACACTGCTCACACCTGGAGCGGGGGGATGAGCTCATGCAGTAGTGCCCAGTGGGGACACGGCCCTGTCAGGTGGGCATCAGACCCTACCAAGCCCACAGCCTGGGAGTCATCTCCTGGGGCCACAGTTCCCAATCCTGATCCCACCTCTCCTGTGAACATCCCCTGGACACAGCACCCCACCTCTTCCTGACAACAGAGAGGCCTCCATCACAGGCTCAGGGCAGTCCTGGGAAGCCGGGGTGTCAAGCCGGGGGGCCTTTTCCACACCTGTGTTTGAGATGGGGCCTGCCTGGAGCCAGCCTTACCTTTAATGCCTTGTTTGGTTTGGGATTAGTCGTCATAACCTGGGCACAGTCACCAGGACAGAGCTCTCTGGAACTCGTTGCTGGAAAACACAGGCAAGCAGAGAAGCCAGTGCAGGTCAGGGCCGGAGGTGCATGACGGGGTGGCCACGTCCCACGCAGGGACCTCCTCAGCCTGGGATGGATGATCACAGCACCCTGAAAACAAGACGGGGCACCATCCGGCCCGTCCTGAGGGGCTCCCCAGGGCATCCTGGCCCAGCTTCTGCCTCTGCCCAGGGTTCCAGGAGGTGGCCTGGCCACACCTCACGCTCTAGCACTGTCCGAAGAGTGGCTGGGACCCCCCACCCCAGAGCCTAATAGCCACATGCAGCCCCCTGCTGCCCTGTGGGCCTGGGCTGTGGCCACCGGCGCTGTGGGGTGACCAGCAGGTGCCAGCAGTGGCTGCTTCCTGCTCTGACTCTCCCTGAGGTCAGACGAGACGTCTACACCCGCGCGACACAAGGTGCTCCATCCCGAAGACCAAAGTGACCGCTGGCGAAACCTCCCTCCCCCAAGACGGCTGTGCTGGCCCCAAGGCCCCACTGGACAGCGACCCTACCCTGGTAAAGACTCCAGTGCTCCGGATGCAGCCTGGATCCCTGAGAGGGGGCCTCAGCGGAGCCCCTGCCATCGCCGGTTTCCCCCAAGGTGGGCCTGGGTGAGGCCCCAGCCGCCTTCCTGCCCCACCCTCCCCGCAGGCCACAGGTCACCTACCACGGCCCCAGCCGCTGTAGCTGTGACATCACCACCTCCACCTAAGCTGCCCCCGAACGAAGACCCTGCGGCCCGAGGGGCTGTGGGGCCCCTGAGGGGCAGTGGGTCGGGCGCCACAGCCAGAGACCTGGGAGGTGGGGAGCCGCTGCCTCGCCGAGTGTTAGACTGTCTGGCGGGAGCCGTCTCCGCCGCCGCCCCCGCCGTCCTCACGTCTGCATTGTGTCACACATTCTAATCATTCATGAAAAACCCAGCCAAAGCATCCCCGGCATGATCCCTCCGATAGTTACCATGGCGACCTTGGGACCGAGCCAGCCCTCGCGGTCGTCATGGAAACCGAGAAGCCCAAAAAATGATCCTGACTTCAGGTCAGGCTGCACAGACATCACGAGGCTGGCAGGCAGTAAACAAACTCATTCGTACCCCGGAGCTGGGACAGGCGGGCGGAGGGCGCGGGGCTGCTTGTAGGACAGGGGTTCACAACACCCACTCCCACACCCAATACCAGACATGAGTTCCCGCAGAAGGAACATCAGAGTGGCACATGGTGGTGGGCGGTGTCCTTGGGCAACACCTCCCCTGGACATGGGCACTGTGGGTGGGGGGTGACCCCATCCTGCCCTCCCTGCCAGCCCAGGACCCCCCCACCCTGTGCCAGGGAGCCCTCGGGCCCAAATCCCTTCACCTTCCAGCCCTGCCTCCGACTGGGGTCCCAGCCCTGCAGCGCACCCACCCCCACAACCAGAGGACCGCATAAGCGAGACGGTCCCACACCAGACTGTGGAGCCCGCCGCCCTTGCCAAGGCCAGCTCCTCTCAGGGCACTGACGTAGATGGCACAGGACAATATCAGCCCGTCCTGGAGGAGGCCAGGTGGGCTCCAGGCTCCTCCACACCCACTCTGGGGCAAGTGTAACAGTGGAGAAGCCGGGACTCGGCTGCCTCAGCCACTGTGGGGACCTGCAGATGCCTATGGCTGGGAGCACCATGAGAAACTTTTCCATGTCAGAGGGAGGGGCCGCGGGCACCGCTTCCAGCTCTGCTGTAAGCACGTCAGTGCACAGGCCGGCCACAACATAGCTATGTGGTGAGTCACCAGATGTTTACAGAGCCTCGCGCATTCCCACACACCCCGGCCTCCCACCCAGCAAGGACCCGCTCCCAGGCCCCCAGGCCCCCTGCCCACCGTGGCAGCAGAGCTGGGCGGAAAAGGAAGGTCCCACGGACAAGGCCGTCTGGCCAGATCCACGGTGACGTGCAGGGCTCCGCCGGGTACCTGGGGCAGAGTTCAGCATGGAGATCCTTTCACTAAGGAGAGGCTTCCCGGGACGCCTGTGATGTCACAGAGGTGAAACGAAGCCAGTGGCGACCCCAGGAGGGACAGTTGACGACTTCTACAAGGTCAAGGTTGCCAAGGCTGCTAGAGCACACCTTCGCTCCCCTCAAGTCCCCAGGGCTTTAGGGCACAGCTGCACTGGGCCCCTCCGAGTAACTAGAGACCTGGGGGAGGCGGGGGTCCTGGGCAGCCCCGACGCTGTACTCACAAGCTCGCCCCCCACTTCCTTGGGCAGGTCACAACTCTGCTCTGCCGAGAAAGCCCGGACGAGCCACGAGCCTCTGTAGCCAACCCCCGAGAGGCGACGCAGGAGGGACAGGCCAGCCAAGTGTCGAAGCCTCTCTCAGGAACCCAGCACGGATGGGATGCTGCTGGCGCCTACCTCTCCCCACCACGAATGAGATAAAGCCAAGTAGCATTAACCTAAAGTCGCCTTAAACATCGGAGGCAAGAAAATCGACAGCTTGCTTTTGGGAGGAGATTCAGAGAAGAGTTTTGCATGTGCAAAAGAAGTTTGTAAAGCAACTCATCTAAAAATGATGACTGCCCTAAAAAGGGGTTTTGTAAATCGTTTGCCCTCACACAGCCTCAAGGGCTGCCAGAGCACACGCAGAAAGGGCTCCCACCCCAGGGCCAAAGACGCAGCCTTAGGGTATCATGCCAGGGGGAAACTGTGCCTGGGGTCCCAAAGACACTGTGACACCAGCCTCCCGCTACCTGGGGCCCAAGGCAGGGGCCACTGCATCAGCACCTGGTCAGTAGTTCAACCAAGCTCCTCCCCAGCACCCCCAAGGAGCGAAGCCCTGGCATTCTGTCTTATGACCACCAGCTAACAAAACGCCAGCACTGCCACACATGCCCCTGATGCCCCTGAGCTCTCTGGGTTTCCACAGAGTCACCCAAGAAGCGCAGTGGTCAGCGCCACAGCTGGGGGCCTGGGTAGGCGGGTCTGAGTTTCTGCTATGGAGTCCTAACCACTGACCTAGGTAAAGGGTGCAGCGATCACCCCCCCTCACCCCTCACCCCCCACCCCAGTCCCTGGCAGCAAAGTTCTCCGGCACCACCTATAACCTGGAACACCTTTTATGTGACTGGTTTTCTGATGGCAGAAGAAGGGATTTCAACGTAAAGCCAGACACCTCAACATGACATACATCTAAACAAAGCTCAGCGGGAGAAATCACTTCCTCTAAAGGAAAAGGAGGCTGGGCACAGTGGCTCACGCCTATAATCTCAGCACTTTGAGAAGCCGAGGCGGGTGGATCACAGGGTCAGAAGTTCAAGACCAGCCTGGCCATGGTGAAACCCTGTCTCTACTAAAAATACAAACAGCCAGGCACAGTGGCAGGTGCCTGTAATCCCAGCTACTGAGAAGACTGAGGCAGGAGAACCACCTGAACCCAGGGAGGTGGAGGTTGCAGTGAGTTGAGATCGTGCTATTGCAATCCAGCCTGGATGACAGGGTGAGACTTTGTCTCAAAAAATAAATAAAAAATAAAGGAAAAGGAACCGCCAGCAGCCTTAGAGATGACTCCTGTGGCTGCAGCTGGGAATAAGTGATGGAGCCGGGACGCTTCCATTCAGGACGCAGACAGAGGGTCTGGGCTCCGTACAGCGCAGGGCAGGGCAGCTCCGCCACGGAGGAACCTCCTAGAGGATGAAGATCTGGAGCCCAGGCCTCCGGCAGGCAGGACAGACAGCCCAGGGCCAGCCATCCAGAACTGCCCTCTCAGGAGCAGGTGAGTCCAGGCAGCCACCTCAGCAACCGAAGAGTCATGTTTTTTTTTATTTTCACTTTAGAGATGAGGTCTCGCCGGGCGTGGTGGCTCACGCCTATAATCCCAGCACTTTGGGAGGCCGAGGCAGGTGGATCACGAGGTCAAGGGATCGAGACCATCCTGGTCAACATGGTGAAACTCCGTCTCTACTAAAAATACAAAAAATTAGCTGGGCATGGTGGCGCATGCCTGTAATCCCAGCTACTCGGGAGGCTGAGGCGGGAGAATTGCCTGAACCCAGGAGGCGGAGGTTGCGGTGAGCCGAGATCGTGCCATTGCACTCCAGCCTGGGTAACAAGAGCGAAACTCCGTCTCAAAAAAGAAAAAAAAAAAATACAGATGAGTTCTCACTCTGTCACCCAGGCTGGAGTGCAGTGGTGCAATTATGGCCCACTGCAGGCCTCCTGGGCTCAAGCAATCCTCCTGCTTCAGCCTCCCGAGCAGCCGGAACTACAGGTGAGCACCACCACACCCAGAGAATTTTAAATGTTTTTACAGGGTCTCACCATGCTGCGCAGGCTGGTCTCAAGCTCCTGGGCTCAAGTCATCCTCCCGCCTCAGCCTCCCAAAGTGTTGGGCTTACAGGCGTGAGCCACCATGCCCAGCCATTTTTAACTTTTTAAATCCCAGCAAATATTCACTGGTCACCCATGGGTCTGACCCCACTCAGTGAGGGGTTGACAGCCCTGACATCTCTTGGTGTGCTGGCACAAGCTGAGAAGGACCACCTTTGGGGTCCACGAGGGAACATTTTATGCATAAAGTTGGGACTGGCACGGTGGTCCTTGCCTGGAATCTCAACACCTCTGGAGGCCGAATGCTTAAGCCTAGTAGTTTTGGACTAGCCTGGGCAACATAGCAAGGCCCTGTCTCTACAAAGAAAAAAAATTTTTTAATAGCCGGGTGTGATGACACACGCCTATGGTCCCAGCTACTCAGCAGGCTGAGCTGGGAGGTTTGCTTGAGCCGGGAAGCCAAGGTTGCAGCGAGCTGTGATTGTACCACCACACTCCAGCAGCCTGAGTGACAGAGCAAGACGCTGTCTCTTAAGGAAAAAAAAAGGGAGAGAGAGAGAAAATGAGAACAAAGTGAGTAGGGCAGGTAAGGGCTGGATGACCCCTCTGAACAGTCCTGGGCGAGGATGCCCATGGAGACAGGGATTTCAAGGCTTCGGGGCTCCGATTCTTCTCAGATGACAGGATGCATCCGGGCCACCACTCACTCTCTGAGGCCAGCACAGGGGCTCTGGATAGGTCACCTGCTCTTTCCCAAGGGGTGAATGACAACAGAGACTCCACGCACGCTCCATCCCCTCAGCCACCTAGCCAGTCTGACCAAGACAGAGTGGCCCTTCCACTTCCATTATGGATGGGTCTAGAAGGATGTGGGATGCAGGAGAGGGAGGAGGGGCTTGAGGCGGCCCAGGAACAGAGGAGGAGTGTCCTGTGCAAGAGGCTTGGGTTCATCAGCAGCTGCCGTCCCACCCTCTCTCACCTGTGACTCCCACGACAGGTGCAATCCACACAACCAGAGGCCACCCAGGGCATGCCAGCCTCTACCGGGAGCCTTTCAGCAACAGACTCCAAGGCAGGCACCCCCAACAGTGGGCCACAAGGGTGGGTGGGGCCACTGTGGTGCTGGTACCCAGTGGGCGCCTGTCAAACAGGTATCAACCGACTAACTGCAGCCCTGGCTGGTCACAGAGACCAGCCAGACACCCATCCTACTGAGGATGAGGTCCTAGACTGCGAGGGCCCCCACGGTCCAGCTGTTCTGGACACAACCCCCCTCAGCATGCAGGAGGCACCCCTCTTGGTCCCCCTAGCCCGGCCCGCACCAGGCTGCAACCTGGCCCTGGCTGGCCGCCCTCCAGTAAGCCACAATTGTCAGCCCAGCTTGGAGGACATCTGGTCACCTTGCATTTGCAGTCCGAGGAAGCTGTGTCATCCCGCTACATCCAGAGGTGACTCAGGCAGCTGCAGCAGCAGAGAGCAAACTGCAGAACACACCACACCCGCTCCAGTCCCCGCCCTGGCTCCCATACCATCCTCCCGTCCTCGGCCTCTGCTCCCCATCAGCATCCTGTTCTTCCCCAGCCTGCCCTGGAGCTTTACCCAGCTCCTCCAGCCTCCAAGTACAGCCAGGGGCATTGCAGGGGGCCCAGACGCCGCCCCCCCCCCCAGCCCCCAACAGCATCATTCAGTGGTGTGGCCCCAACCCTCTCTCCTTTCCTTGTCTACTCACTGACCTGGCTTGGTCCCAGTCCCCAAGCATTGCCTGCCCGAACCCGGCCTCCAACTTCTCTTGACTGGACTACAGCTTTGGCCAAATGGGATGCCCTCACCCTGATCCTGGTGCCCCACATGCAGCAACACAGGCTTGGGGTTCCTCCCGAACCTGAACTCCCTGGTCCCAAGGCCGTGGCAGGTTTCTGATCCCCCTACTATCTGCACTGAGCACATGGTTCCTGCCCACCCTCAAGCCCTGCTTCTTCCAGAAACACTCTCCATTGTCCTCACGTAGGCAAATACCCTCTACCAAGGCCTGGTTCTAGATCCTTCTGGGGACAGGGGGCCTCCCCACAGCATGGTGAGCTCCTTGTAAGCAGGGGGTATGTCTTCCCTACAGCCTACATGAGCCCCCACTGCACAAGATGAGCCAGACCCACACAGGAGGGCAGGGAGAGGGCAGCCTCCACCCCAATACCTTCCCGAACGTGCCCGACACACAGCGTGGAGAAGCAGGCAGGCTCTAGACCAGACCCCACCGGCCCTGGGGCCAGGCCAGCAGATGTCATGGCCTCGGTTTCCTCATCTAGAGTGGCCGGTCAGGGCGGGGCGTGTGGCCACTCAGGTTCATGTGTACCTGCTCTAAACTCCGATTTTAAGACGACAATCCCAGTTTCCTGAAACTGTAGGAAAGCGGAAACATGACGACTCTGTGACTTATAAAAAGCAAAAATAAACAGCAGGGAAAAGCATCTTCCATTCTCGGAGAGCAGGGAGGGTGGGGACGGAGCAGTGAGTCACTGTTTACTGTGGAGAGGCAGCCACACGGAGCGTCCTCCCAGCTGGCCAGATTTCCATTTCCCGTGTGGACTGGACCCGAAACTCAGAAAGTCCACTCCAGAAACCTTTAGACTCAGAAACAGCTGGGACAGGAACAGGCACAACTTCTTCTCGGTCTGGGTGGTAAACAGCTTTGCCAGAGACTGTAAACAAACGCCACGGCCATCGGCGAGCCCCGTGGGTGAAAGCACGCGCCTTGTAGACACAGAGTGGCCCGAAACGGCAGCCTTCCGGGTGCACAGAAAGGCTGGCGCCTTGACAGCCCGACCCTCGGTAAACGCTGGCTCCCCGCGTTTGCCGGCACCTGGGGAGTCAACAACACTGCAGGGAACCAGCCCCTCAAAGACCTGGCTGAGTTCAAGGCTAAAAGGCAGGAGAAGTCTGGTTTGTGTTTTTGCTTGAATAAATGTCTTATTTTGGAATGAGAGGTCTAGTTTTAAGAGTAGACTCCCTCTACCAAGATCAAACACACATTCCTGCTGGGTTACCTAAGGAGGGGAGACAGTCTCACGAGTGGTGCTAATGCCCAAATAGGGTGCAGGTGTGTCCCAGCCACCTGCACCGCCCACCCACACTCTCCAGACCCCACCCACAGCTCTTTTAAAGCTCCAAGTCCCTGAAGATGCTGGGCTTGGAGAAGCTACACCACGAACCACCCCCGCTCTCCCCCACCCCCATCTTGGAGATCCCCTTACAACACACGCTGAAACCTCAACGCCAGTCAAGAGACCTGGAAGCCCACCCTGGAGAATCAGAGGGGCGAGAAGGGCTGTGCCGGAGCTCAACCAGATATCCGAATCCCAGAGATATCCCCAACCCACGATGTCCAGCAGGGGGTGGGGGGTTTGAGTCTCAGGATCTTCCCGAGGCCAGGCACCTAGCCAGAGAGCGGCTGGCTGCCTGTGGGTCACTTGGTGAATGAATGGTGAGTGGATATGATTTCTGCCTCGGCTACAAAAGCCGCGTTAAGAAGCCAGCCAACAGCATGCTCAGGGGCACAGGACCAGGGAGAGGCACACGGGAGGCCCCGAGAACACACCGGGCATGAGCATGAGAAGGCAGCACAGCGCAGGGCCAGTGCTGTGCCCCAGGCAGACCCAGGTCAAGGGCCAAGGCCAGGCCGGGTCCTGGCTTTCTGGGTTCCTCGGAGGCACCTCCTTCCACCCCCCCAGGATCTAGAGGCT